TGGCTTTTTATGAATAGGAAGGAAACAAATGTATTTTCTATTTCACTTTTGGATAATTTCTCTTTCTCCTTAAATAGCAAAGACAACTATCGGCCCATGGCTCTGGCCAGCACCTTATCAAAAGTTTTGGAGAAGGCTCTGCTAAGCAGAATTGAGACGTTTATAGGCACATCTGATTATCAATTTGGTTTTAAACCAAAGTCATGTTAATCATGACAAATTGTTTCATAAATTGCATGAGAGAGGAGTTCCGAAATATTTATTAAGAATATCAGTGTATTGGTATGCTCACCAGAATATGTCTGTAAAATGGGGAAACTCTGTATCATCTTCTTTTTATGTGGGTAATGGGGTGTGGCAAGGCAGCTTTTTATCTCCTGGCCTTTTTAACCTGCATATGGAGGATTTATCTAAGCTGCTGAATCAATGTAGGACTGGCTGTCGGGTTGGTAATCGAACCATCAACCACCTGATGTACGCTTACGATCTTGTGATATTCTGTCCATATAATGCTGGTCCACAGCAACTGTTAGGGGTTACAGCATGATATTAAATATAATGCAAAAAAGAGCAACATCATGATTGTCAAGAGCAAAGAAGATACTAAATTATCTTTTCCTGACTTCACCCTGTCTGGCAGCATCCTCCAGGTCACTGATGAGGTCAGACATTTGGGACATCACATCACCGCTGACCTGTCTGATGACAGACGTTTACAGGCAGCGTTGTACTCCAGGTGTACAAGCTGATATTCCCCTTTGGAGGTTCTCCATGTGCTCAGCATCTGTCAAAGCTGCACTTTTTAAAGCGTACTGTACTCCAATGTACAAAGCCCACCTGTGGCGGCGTTACAGGAAAAGGAATAAATTTCAGGTTGCTTATAATGATGGCATGAGGATGCTGCTTAGGGCGCCCTGATTGAGTAGAGCCAGTCAGATGTTTGTGAATGCCAATGTACCAACCTGCACTGCTGTGCTTCGAAACATTATGACCAGATGTATGTGTAGATTAACAGAATCTGCCAACAGCATCATTCAGACTTTGACCAAACCTGTTCAAAGCTCAGTGAGGTTCTTCTCCAGTTTGTGGAATCACTGGCGCTTTAGTAAAATATGTTTATATTTTATGTATTTTCTTTATTTCTTTTTATTGTTCTTGTTCTGTCTGTTTATAGACCATGATAGTCTCTAAATAAAGAGGATTGATTGATTGATTGATTGATTGATTGATTGATTGATTGATTGATTGATTGATTATCCTTGGCTTTAGCCTGTGAACCAGGACGTCTCAGAAGTCATTGGAGTTCTCCCAGTGTGACCAGTATAATAAATGTTTTGTTCTTTCACTTTTTGTGTATTTTTAAATCTCAATCTGAAGTAGTGTATTAATACAGCTTATGGTAATGAAATAAAAATAATTTACTCTGTTAGAATTATTTTTCACTCTTTGCTGTCAATAGCAGAGTTGACTTACTGTAATAAATATTTTTTTCTCTGGAAAAAACTAAGAAAAATATGTAGTTTAATGTTTGACAATGACTGATTTATAAATCAAAAGTCATTTCTCAATAATGTATAAAAATAGATTATTTGTTGACTTGACATGTTGAATGTACATTAAATTACGGAATTATGTAAATATATTCTTTAATAAAACACTGTAAAAGTGTCTGTTCATCAGTGTCATTATAAAAATTATCAGAATAATTTTATCAAATAAAAACATTGTGCTCTTTATTCAGAAATGCCCCAAAACAATTAATCACATCAAAAGTTAGAAACTCTCTTTAGTCATTTCTTTGATTACCAAATATATTAATGTGTGTGAGAAAATGTGTCAGTGGCAGGAATTAACTTAAAATACTTTGTAGAACGGCACTTGGTGAAGTTCAGTCCATTTACCTGTATTAGCTTACTGGCACATATTCCACATTCAATATGGTGGACGCTGTGACATATCGCAGCAACGGGCGACCCTTCCATGAGGGGTCTACTATGTCTGTGGTCTTGCTAAAAACCACGTGACTGGCAACAAACATGAGAGTCACGTGACTGCTTCATTTTGCGTGTCGATTTTCAAAATAAAAGCACGATTAGCCGTGCTGCTTCATGGGTTGTTGTCCATTTGGTCGCATCAGAGGATATTTGTCTTCAGTGACCAAATAAAATGAACATTGACCAACATAGTTGATGTGTATTGATGATGGCACTCATCAAAATGTAAAGTTTGTTACTGATTTTCCCAATTGTCAAAATGTTGTTTTTTTAATAACTATATTTTTGTGATTTTATGTTGCTGAAACGTGCTACACAAATAAACTTGATTGTCTGAAATGGAGCCAGCAAGAGGAAAATCTGACATCTGGGAATACTTTGAGATTATCCTCACAATAAAATTCTTCTTAGATAATAATTAACCCTCCACCTCCCAATTTCTCACCTTCTGCAAAGTTCCACTATTATTCGTAGTCTGATTAGCAAAGATATATCAGTCTTGCACAACAGAAACAGATTTAATCCTGTTGCAGAACTAAAATTCAACATGTAGCCAAATATAAGAGATCAGAGCCAATTAGAAATCCAAGAAAAAGCGAACGCCCCGACAGACACTGCATTAAAACACTAAATGTCTTTATTGTCAAATCCGTCTGTGGTATAAAAGAAAACCCAACACAACCACTGACATTCAACATAAACCAGGATTAGACTGGCTACAAATCATTTTAATAATTAAAACATATGACAATTAAATATGGTTTCATTGATTCTCCTGTTACCAAACATGAGTTTGATGAAAACTTTGTGACAATATTGAATTTAGTAGTTTTTGGAAGTATGATCCACCCGAGTGACAAGGCTGTTGTAGTTTCACCAGCAG